CGGGAATCAGATATGAATGAGGCAATTACACATACTCATGGTTCAAACACATAGTGAACAAACACGACTCGACCTAGCTTAAACAGACCTAGTTTACAAGCGCCAGTCAGCCCTTGTAGTTTCTTCGCCCCAGCCATGCACCAAAGGCTGTGCTTATCCTTCAGCTCACTCCAAATCCATGTTAATCGAAGGAGAAGCCTCCTCAAAAACACATGTATTCCTATGTTTTCAAATAATCCAGGCACCTAGAATAATTGAAGTGTTCACTCCTTTTCTATGCTCTGTTAACTCTGCTCATAGTCTTGCGCTACCGTCAGCAAAACTTAGTTCATTTTGTCGCGGGACTGAATCTGCTAGGTTCAGTGGATTGAATAATCTGAATCATACTTGTCTTGCCACCACACATGTTGTTAAAAGATGTTGTATCGTCTCATCCTTTTATCGCATAGTGGGCATTTATCCGGTTGAGAGAGGCCCCTCTTAGCAAGCTTATCCGCCGTCCAACATCTATTTCGGAGAGCTTCAACCACAGTCCGGCTTTTGCAGATTCTTGGAGAGACACAAGCAAAGACAATTGGCGCAAGATTTTCAATCGAACACCCGTGCAGCCAACGATCAGTCCAGAAAAGTGTATTGTTTTGGTACAAGGACTAACTTTACCTTGTCGTCAGCTCATATTGCTTGCTTCAGGATAGGGAAAAATGATGGTTGTTGATCCAACTGAAATATATGTCAAAGAACAAGAGATCTTTCAGCATTTCCCACCATGCTGGAATTATGGTACAAGGACTATGGTCCTAATTTTATTATTTGTTCCATTTATTTCTCTGTGAATGCTTGTCCAGTCCTGAGTTGTTATTCCTTTTTACGAGATGTTTATTCTTGGATTTCACATTTCCCTATGATGTTTTGCGATGCTACTTGATTGTGTTGCTTCCTATTTCTTTGTTAGAGAAAACACATGGACTTTATGCTAACAAGTAGGAAGAACATATAGTCACTGAAATCAAGTTTGATTCACCCACATAAAAATTGATGCCTTTAAATGTTCTGTTGTCCTTTTCTTATTCCTCCTTTTAAATCCCTGTTATTTCTCAGTAAAGGCAAGAGCTCCTTGCAACTGACATAAGCATGTCATTTGATATTGGCTTGACATTTTATTGCCCGGATTGAAAATTGCCTGCTTACTTCATTTGCAAGAAAATTGCTCTTGTACTTGAGAAGTTAACTTAAGGGTTGGACTTTGATCAATAGACTGCACATCACTGTCGACTATGATTCACCAATATTTTATTTTGGCGATGAGCTGCTATAAATAGCACATCAGCTGTCCTTTAAAATCACGATAAAAATCAGAGTAGTTATATCTGCACAAGAAAAGGTGTTCGGGGATGAAGAAATTATCTCCACTGCATATAGCCATGGTTCTTTTAGCCTTAAGCTCTCCGTTGCATGTATCAAGTACAGAACCAGGGCATGGTAATCTTTTTTCATCTCTACTTTGTTCATAACGATTTGTCTTTACTGTTGAAATTGTTTTACCATGCAATAGGTCTAAGAATGCTGCAGGGAATGAAAGCAACCTCAACCTCATATGCAACAACTCAGGTGATTAGGCCTTTATGTTAGTTTTTGGCCTCATTGTTAAAAAATGCTAGTTGTTACTCCGTGACTGGGTTATGTGCTTCTTTCTACTGTTTTCGTTTGGTGTTATCTTCATTTTGTAGCATTTTGATATCATTTCTCTTGTTATTGAATTCCTAATTGAAGAGTCATAATAATGTGATTTGGGAGATCATATTCACCAGATTAGAACTGAAAACCACAATATGTTCATTCTTTTGTCTCTGAAGAACACAGCTGATGACTTGAAGCCTTTGAAACATTCAGGCTATCCATGTTGACGAGGCAGAATTCATGCATGCGGGAAGTATGGGATTTGTACTCAATGACTACCCTGCTTCTGGCGCAAACAACCGCCATTCATCATACCCTGGTGGCACCAGATGAAAGGAGGAAGTACGACAGCTGTTCCACTCAGCCATTGTGTACTTTAATCTTATTAAGAATGCCCTGCAATTCACAAGCATACGAGAACCTGAAATTACATCGGATGAGTGCCATGGTTGTAGCTGCCTGCACGTGACAAAACCCGCCCACCATTTTCCTTAGCTTGGGCAGATATACCAGTTTGAGGGAACAAATAATGTAGAAAAATGCATACTTCTTTTACGTTTGATGCAATGGTCAAGTTAGTAAGGACGAATCCTTGCCAATTAGACGCTTTTAGCCTTGTATTGTGGCATGAGATGTTGTATAGTCCTTGCTTCAAATCCTGTTGTGAATATTTACATAGGATGAAAAAGCTGTAATGCTTGATATTTGACCATCAATATCTCAACCTGTAGCATGTCTGCATGTGTGATATTTGATCATCTATATCCTTTGACAAAAAGCAGGCATTTGATTGCTGTAAATTCATTACGAGTTATGAGTGGCCCTGCAGCCCTGCTCCCCGATGGTAGTGTGAACTAAAAGGTCATAACTTGCTTTGATTTGCACTGGATCGAGCTTTTGTGTGAAAGACCTTTTGTATGTATGTTTGGAGCTTCCTCTGAAGGACCGCTTTGTGTGAGGGAGATTTGTTAAACACCATAAGTTCATGAACCTTAATCGAGGCCAATCTTCCGTTGGACCGTTGGAGGTTGGAGACAAAAGCAACACCAGGAATGCATGCTGGTCATGCTTACTGTGTCCTTAGTACTAGTAATATGGACGGTTAGAGTTCAAACTCAAATGTCTCTCTTTTTTTTTTTTTGGTAATTCAAGATCAACATGTCTGAGCTTTCTACCCACCCAACCTACCCACTCCCCTAGCACAGCGATCCAGCCCCTTCGCATCCCCCTGCTGCTTCGTGGGCCCAGAAGTACACTGACCCCACAAATCAGTTGCTCAGTCTCCTAGTACCGTCTGCATTCTCCTCGCCCTCGATAATTCCACCTCTAGTCACAATTTTTGGCTGCAACCGGAAGGTTCTCACTTCTCAGTCTCACACTAGGTGGTAGCTATTTCTTTAGAGCGCAGATCTTCCCCAATGCTGTGGTTGTTGGATGTTTTCGTTTCAATCCGTCAAAGGTAACCATTTTACACGGACAAATCGTGCGTTTTCGTGTGTGTGTGTGATTCAACATTTCTCAGTCGATTTACTTTCTGCAGTAGTTTCTACAGTTCGTCTTTGGTGAAAAAAATCTTGTCTCCCCCCTTCAGTGTAGTTCTCTCTCTTTCTCTGATCTTCCGCACATGATTTGATCTTTTTTTTTTGAAACTGCACATGATTTGATCTGATATTGCTTTGTATTGCCAAAAAAAGAACCTTCAATTTCTTTTGCACATTTTGTTCATTGGAGCCTCAGCTATTCTGAATGCCCTTCATTTGTTCGCTTTGGGTTCAGTGAGGGATTTGCTCTTTTCAAGCTCTTCATAGTCTACACATCTCTTGCATATTTCAGCTACAGATTGGTTAATGTGATGCTAAAATGCCCTTACTTACCTACCCGAGTATTTCCTCTGCAGGTCGACTTGAGGGCTGCTGATAGTTGGCTGGGGTCCAGGCAACGAATTGGTGGGTGCTAGTTCCTGTTGTCCCTTTGCTAAGGTGAGGTTTTGCTCTGCGCCATGCCCAGATTGATTGGCATTTTTGCTGGATTGCATTTTGTTTGTGCTAGAATCTTGGTGTTGACTGCCTTTGTAATCACTAGGTAAACCAAATGTTAGAAAGCACTCTCAGAAGCCCTTCTCTTTCTTTTTTGGGGAATTCCCTGTGTGCCATTATAAAAGATCGCAATGCCCTGTGTGCTCCTGAAAAAGTTTAGCGATCTTCAGCGCCACTACTTCAACTTTTTCGTGTCCTCCATGCTACTTCTGTCAGTTTGGCCCCTAACGTCGTCAAACTGCAGGTGTGAAAAGACGAAAATACCCTTAAGTCTAAATATGTTATTAATTCTTTTTGAGCATCTTAACAACTTCAAATGAAAAAACTCAAAACTAGAAAGTTGTAGATCTCGTTGAGATCTATAATTTTCATATAAAAATTATTTTTATTTAATTCCGCAAAAAAAAATGATTTGATATGATTAATATATCTTAGAAAAATTATATTTTTTTGCGGAATTAAATGAAAATAATTTTTATATGAAAATTATAGATCTCGACGAGATCTACAACTTTCTAGTTTTGAGTTTTTTTATTTGAAGTCGTTAAGATGCTCAAAAAGAATTAATAACATATTTAGACTTAAGGGTATTTTCGTCTTTTCACACCTGCAGTTTGACGGCGTTAGAGCCCAAATTGACGGAAGTGGCATGGAGGACACGAAAAAGTTGGAGTAGTGGCGCTGAAGACCGCTGAACTTTTCCAGGGACACACAGGGCATTGCGATCTTTTATAATGGCACACAGAGAATTCCCCCTTTCTTTTTTCTCGAATACGCAGGAGAGCCGCGTATCATTGGATTAAGAGAGGAAAAAACGGTCCCGTACAATTATACCCCACCTACTCCGGACATCCTACAGTTGTTCAGGCCAGTGCTCATGCCATAGTTCCCTTTTGTTTCAAAAATGTCAGTGTTACCTTCTCTGAACATCATGTGACCTTGGTTTCTCCCTACATTTCTACAAAGGGATTAAGATAGAAAAACATACAATGTCTTGTCCCTATCTGTTTGCTACAACGAGATGTGCCTGCTCAAATCTTAAAAAATCGTGAAATAATCTAATAAACACACCAAGGTGTACCATATGACTATTGTTCGCTGAACTTACTATAGCATACTCTTGGTTCATTTAGTGACATCTAATGATCTAAACTACAAAATCACCTGAGATTTAGCTCACGGAATTTGTTTCTACAATGTATAAACTAAGATGAAACTGTCATAAAGTGAACATAATACAAATAACTTCGTTCTGACATTCTAATTACTACTAATCCTTCAGACTGAATGGCGGACGACAGAGGAGAGGGTGACCCCCTAGAGGCATTGACTTCAAAAATTGATTTCAAGATGAATTTACTCAACGATGTCATGGCTGAGCACAGAGAGGTAAAACAAGTAATCAGTGGGGTCATGAAAGAAAAGGAGAGTCTCCAACAAGAGAAGGAGAGGCTCCAACAAGAGAAGGAGAGGCTCCAGCAAGAGAAGGAGAGGCTCCTGCATGAGCATCTTGGTCAGTTCTGTATGCATGTTGAAATCTATTTCAAGGAATAGTTTGTTTGGACCATGATGTGTGATATCACATTTATTTGCTTGCCCTCATTCTCTAGTACAATATTGTCCAAAATGATGAGCTTATTGCATTCTTCAAACATTTCTAGTCAGTTCAAAATACTGTTTCTCAATTTTTTTGTTGTCAGAAAATGGAGAGGCTTTAGCAAGAATGAAGGAGGACATTTTATCATCCAAGAAAACATTGGTGGAAGCAAGGGATGCACTTGTGTCATCATCAGAGGTGATTTCTCAAAAGGACAAATACATGGAGTTTCTAAAGAAAAAGCTTCAAGAGAGGGAAGCCAAGAATAATCAAGCTGAGCAACAGGGTGGTACTAAGCCTATTGAACCAGGAGGGGTAACAATGATAACCTATAGCCTTTGCCTCCAATATTATATTATTTCTTAATGCCATCGTCCACTCACTCACGCTCTGCATGCAGCCTAACATGTTCACTGGCGGAGCCAGGGGCTGCTAACAACACTAATTTTTTTGTTATATATAATATATATAGTAAATAGTCTATGTTTATATTAAAAGAGTATAATAAAGAAAATCTTGTTATAATGTTTATTGATATCTTTTAGACAGCAAAGTCACACTGAATATAATTAGAATAAAATATTTTGATTTATTTAAATTTGTTTCCCTACCACATTAGGATATATCTATTAAAAACATTTTGGTTTACTAAAATACTTATGTTTCATTATACTTCATATTTTGAAATCGTCAAATACTAGAATAAATTCAGAAAAATAGGACCCTAACTCCGGGACAAAAATCTAAACAAATAAGCTACACTTAATTCTCATATTTTGAAATTCTTCGGCCGGCCCCCTTATATATATAATTCCTGGCTGCGCCGCTGAACATGTACCTCTTTATATTTGGATTTTTGTTGCTTTTTTCATATCATATGCCTTCTTGGGTTCATATCTAGCCAAACCAGACTTGCTTGCGACTATAAGAGTTCTGTCATCATGGTTATATTTAGCGCATCCACTCTCTCTAGATAGTTTTATCTCACATATTTTTTAATATTAACTTTACAACCAATTTCTCCTTGCTTGGAATACACTGAGTTACTTGACACATAGATCCTCTGCAAAGAAACTTGCATGAGTTTTCCCATTTTGTATTTTTCAATGAGATACACATTTCTAGATAACTATATATGTTCATATCCTTTCCTTCTATAAATAGCAGAACTCCAGCCGCCTTTTCGATGAAAATATTATCTATGCTCATATCTTCATTTATGTTCAATATTTTTACACATTGGATTGTATTAAGGTCAGTAAATGTTAACTGTGAAAATAGGTGCAAATAAGGTCAATGCAGAAGAGGAAAAGGCCATCTGAAGGACCTTTGGACTATGATTCTGGCACAAATGAACCTACAAGCCAATTGGATGACCGATCGCTGTCTCCTTTGGAATCGCTGGGAAATCCTAATGTATGGGATCTTGAGCACATGCTGGTTTTTCTCCATCTTTAATATTTCAGTCTATGACCACCTAACTTCTATGATAATAATGTATCCCTATAGATTCCATTTCTGTTCATTCTTTGTCCACTAAGCTCTCTTGCCTATATAAGTACAAATGTGAATGCAGGTGCAGACAAGATCAATTAAGATGAAGAGAAGGCTATCTCAAAGAACTCTGGGTAATGATGCTGACAATCTTGAGGCAATAAAAGAGGGCCCCAGGCAAGAGGTGGCCAACAACCCAACTGTTGGGCAAACCTCAGGTGTTCAGTTGTGCGATGAAGATGACCTAGAGGCAATCATAGAGGAGCTGATCAAGGTTCGATCATATCCCTCAATTTTTTTGCTCAATGTACTTAGCTCCAGCATGTATTCCTATCAAATGTACATGAGCCTTATGTTATCTGCAATTTGGTGTTTCAGGGATTCCTTGAAATTGGTTATGGTCATGGTAGACGGAAACTTGGGATAAAGGAAATGGGGGAGCTGAGTGAGAAGGCATTCAAGACTGCCTGTCGTGCCAAGGTACCTCCTGAAGAAGTTGGTGCGGCATTTGATCAGTTGTACTCATCATGGCAGCAGCAGCTTGGTGACCTAAGCTGGTATCCCTTCAAGAGTGTCACAATTGATGGGAATTGTCAGGCATGTTAATTCTAGAAAGCTTAGTAGTATCTCACATGTTCCTTTTGATCCATTCTCAAGGATAATGGACTGTTTTGATTACATTATCAGGAAATTGTGAATTTGGATGATGATAAACTGCAAGAGCTGAAAAGGGTATGGGGACAGGATGCCCACGATGCTGTCGTTACTGCACTGGTGGTGGAAATGAAAGAATATGACTGCCTGAGCGACAGAAGCATTGCCTATGAGCTATGGAACTACAAGGAGGGGAGGAAGGCCACTACGAGGGAGTGTGTTGAATACCTGTTCAATCAGGTGAAGCTACTTTCGGCGTCCAAGCACAGGAATACTCTCAGGTACTTTACATTGTATTGGAACTGATGTACTGTTGTGAAAATGCTATCAGGAGGATATATTTATGATCTATATTAGAGAAATACACTTACGCACGATATTATGTCGTTCGTCATGGCAATGGAGGCAATGAGCTGTCCTGCATTGACCTGAACTAGAAAATCACAGGCCATGTGGATAGTCGAAAACAATGAATTTGTTAGGCGTCCTTTTGGTATAAGCACTTCATGCCTTCAATGTTTCAACAGATGTTGAAGCTAGTGCGCAGAACGTATGTTCCATTGCTAACATTTCTAGATATCATTTCATTTGTTAATGAATATACAGTGAACTGAAATGGTTTGTTAACAAACTAAAGTCACATAGAAACTATTCTATCACCTTTCCTTTTTTGAACAAACAAGCAAACGACAGTGCTTATTTCATTTATTGAGAGTGAGAGAACAGAGTTCCAATCACTTAGGACCTGCAGAGTGTAAAAAAAGGAGCAGGATCTAAGTTAGATTAACAAAAACTGCTAAATGTTCGGCTCCTGCAATGGCCCAGGTTCGGGCCTTCTCTGTCTTGCTCTGAAACATTTGTGTAGCATTTGCTCAGAAGCTGCTAAACTCTGAAATGTTTTTCAGTTCATTGTACATATGTTTGATTTTCAATTCTCTATACGAAACAGCAGTTTTCTGTGACCTTGGTTTGTTAATGAAAATGAAAACATTTTGGACTTCATTCATGCACCATATCATGGTAGAAATGTCTTCTTTTTACGAATGAAGTGGTCGAAATGGAATGATATGATTTGAACACCACATGTTATTTGATATTAGGGACAATTGTCTGTTGGACATCCAAGTGATGGTCCTTTGCTGGCGGATACCCATTTTGGAGCATTTTACCAGAAGACACTCTGGTTCGGTGAAATTAGGCCACAGGACACCGCGGACCGGTTACAGCCGGTTGAGGAGAGAGAACAGCGGTGAAATGACATTCTTGCCCCTGCGGTAGAGGAGCATGTCCCTGACCCTGATGAACACCCACCGCCGGGACCCACGCGCCGACGATGACGCGGCCGACGAGGAGGAGGACGACGTGGAGGAGGACGAGGACGAGCGGGACGAGGCGGTGACCGGCGGCGCGGCCTCCCCGTGCGTCCCCTTGGTCGCGTCGGCGGTGGGGCCGGGGCCGAGATCCGGCGCCGGGACGAGCGCATTGATCAGCTTGAGCCGCGGCGACGCGCTGCGGAGCGGGGACATGGACCGCGCGCGGCGGTGCACGGACGCGCTCCGGGGCGTGAGGTGTACGCCTCCCTCTCCACCATTAGGCCCAGCCCAAGTGCCTCCTCGGCTTGGCCTAGGCCGCAACAGAGCACGCACACGCCCGCGCCGCGTCCGCCGCGTAGGCTCCGCGTCGCCACTACCGCGCCCAGGCACGAGGAGCATGGGAGCGCCGGCCTTCTCCGGCTATACCTTCTCCGGCTATAAAAGGCCGGTCATGGTTGCTGCCGAGGCCAAGCACGGGAGCGCCGCGCCCCGCCTTTGCCAGAGCACCTCGAGCTGAGGCCATGGTTGCCGAAGCTCGAAGCTCTCCGCCGCCGAGCCGCTCCGCCCTTGCTCTTCTCGCCTCGCCTTGCCTCACCGCAAGCCGCGCCGCCGGGGCCAAATCCCGTCGCCGCCCAGCGCCCCTCTGCTTCGCTCTGCCTCTGTCTCTCTCGTGACCGGGCGAATGGGGAGGACAGACAGGAAGACCGAGGCTGCGACATCCAAGGCCATCCGCCTGGGCACATGGCCACGTCGAGGCAACCAATAGGAGCAAGCCACCTCGCCCATAGGTTCACCTGTCATGGACTCCACTCTCTCTTCCCTTTCTTCTGTGGCTTCAGTCCACGTAGACCCCAAAGACAGAGAGCACTAGTCCACCGATCGGTGTGTGGGTGCACGAGCACAGTGCTGGTCAGCCCGCCAGCTGACCAGGCCCACGCGTCAGCCTCATGGTGGGCAAGAATGTCATTTCACCGATGTTCTCTCTCCTCAACCGGCTGCAACCGGTCCGCGGTGTCCTGTGGCCTAATTTCACCGAACCAGAGTGTCTTTTAGCAAAATGCTCCAAAGTGTGTGTCCGCCAGCCAAGGACCATCACTTTGGATGTTCTACAGACAATTCTCCCTTGTGGACAAGTAGATAACAGCTGCAGACCCATCTTTTTTTATTATAAAAAAATGCAGAACAATACATTCATGTTTCGAAGTTGCATTGTGAATAATTGACATTCTGGGATTACCTTAGTTGATGTTTCTTTCCAAGTTGCTGCATTTCTCTCCGACAATCAAATCCATTACAAACGCCAAACTGTTTTTCTACATGGAACTCAAGCTTGCCCCTTCTTGTTGTGCAGGTCCAGCGGCAGGGCATGAAACTGCCTTCCAACTCTCAAAAATCTGACACGACACAGGAAGCCACAAGCTCCTTTGGATTATGTACATATATGCCCATGACTTAAGTAGGCCATGGTTCTGCTTCACAGAAGCAGCGCCTCTGATGTAGTGAGTTCACATCTCTGGACTGATGAACAATCAGAGTGTATGCTGTAGCAAGGAATTTTATAGGACTGTAAGGAATTATGGTTTAGGACTAATTGACTATGACCTGTATGTTACTCCCATAAACTTCCATGCTTCGTAATAGGACTATGTTTCGGTTCTCTGAACTTTGTTTTGGTCTGCTGTCTGTTTGCACTTGGAAAGTGCTCTGGTTTTTGCTCTGAAGTTGCCTTTGGTTTGTTGTGCGAAGTGCGAACTAGTGCCAAGAACTTGAAAATGAACTTGTCTTTGGTGTAGCACTATCAGGAAACGCCATTGCCATGCCCGTCGTCAGGCACACCTCCTTCAAACCCGAGGCCTGGTCGTCCTCGCCAAGGCCGGCAAGGACGTGTGGTCCACTGCCTCACCATGCGTCCATGCCGGTTGGCATCAACACTACACACAGGAGGACAATGAGTGCCGTGGTGAGCAAGTCCTCGCCTCGTCAGGCCATCGGAGCCGGTGACGACGAGCAGGAGCAGCACCGCCATAAAGCTCTCGTCTTTCGACCAAGGAGTGGCTAGCGCCCGGACGTTCGGACGCTAGCCTTCCATCCAGACTCCTGTGCAGCTGCGCCTGCCTCGGCTTGCTGCACCCGCACCGCTGCGCCTGCCCGTCCACGCCTCGCCCTGCCAGCCCACACGTGTTGCTGCTGCGCGCAAACTTGTTGCATGCTGCCGTGAGCTCGCGCATGCACGTGGAGACCGCCTCCACCTGCCCTCGCTTCCCGCGCCTGACACCGAGGCGAAGCAGCAGAAGACGAGGTGGAAGATGCAACACCTGATCTTTTGAAAACATCCGGATACAACAATTCCAACATACGTCTCAAGATAATGAAATATTTGAAACATGCGTCTGAAACACCTGCAAAACACCTGAAAACACTTGCAAAACATACGTGTACAACCATTACAAAACATAGGCAACATTCAGATAAAACACTTGCAACATATGTATGAAAACAGATGCAACATCCAGATAAACACACTTGCAACATATGTCGGAAAAAAGATGAAACATTGAAAACAGAAGCTTGCAACATACGTGTACAACTATTGCAACATATGCAATATCCCGATACTTTTGCAACATCCATCTGAAACCCTTGCAACATATCTCTGAAACATCTGAAACACTTGAAATGAACATTTGCAACATGTGTTTTTTCATCCTTCTTCCATGCGACGCAGAGCAGAGCAGGGAACGGCCGGTTCCAGCCACCGGCGGCCGAGGATGGTGGCGCCGCCTGGCAGCAGCCCCCTGCGCTTGCGCCTACGCCGGCATGGGTCCGACCACGACGACCCCCTCTCCTGGCGCCTGGCATGGGTGCGGCGAAGGACGTAGCACAGCATGGCGTGGCGGGGACGGAGGCGCCGCTGCAGTCGCTGAGCACGCGCATGGAGCTTGGAGGCGGAGGGCGAGGCACCGACGACCGGGTCCAGCAGCAGTTGTAGCCGGTGGGGCGGCTGGTAGCATACCTTGGCGGAGGATTCCTCCTCTGTGCGGGGGACGGAGGCGCCGAGGGGTACAGGACCGGGCGTCGTGGGGGATGATGGTAGCGGTGGCGCGCCGAAGTGGGCCGCGGTGGCACGCCGGAGTGGGCCGCGATGCGAGATAGAGGTGTCGCGGGGGATGGTGGCGGTGGAGTGGGGCGGGCAGACGATCGCAAGGCGCAATGAAGCCGAGACGACGCGAGGGAGGGTCAGGAATTTTTTTATGAGAGAGACGAACGAGAGAGACGGGCGAAGCGGAGTGGGATGCCTCATCCAACGAGATGGACGCCCGCGTCTAAGCTTTTCTATTCGACCAAAGTTTTAAATCTTCGGCTAGCGGCTGAGAAAGGGAGCAGCTAAGGGCCTGTTTGGATGGACTATGACTAGTGTATAGCTAGGACTACTGATTAGCAGACTAATGATTACCTGTTTGGATCCAAGGGCTAACAAGTATGAATAAAAGGTCATTTATGCCCCTAAGCCTGTTTCCTAGCTCGTTGATGCCGACAACCAGAGGTAGTTCGTCGCGAATGGCAGTCCGGTGGCACGTGGCGTCTGGAGCCTGTGGCGGCGGGCATGGCCATCTAGAGGCAGAGCTACGTCGTGTGGCGTATGCAGGCATAGGCGCATAGCGCGCAGTGTGGGGGCTTCAAGTCGCGGCACTGGAAGGCGGCCTTCAACGCAGGTGACTAGGTGAAGCTCGTCGCTGCCGGAGCTAAAAATGGCGGCGCGAGGGAGGGGAAAGGGCTCCTATGGCTAGCGAGACAATGTAGCACGAGCAGATGAGGGAGGGAGAGGAAACGCGTGGCGGCGGACGAGATGCCGCGCAGGCGGATGCTGGAAGGGAAACGAAAGACTCATGGATAGGGTCACGTGGGGGTGAGGTAATCGGTGTCTTTTCTTTCCAATCTGGTGAAACTTTAGCCCCTAATAGTTGAGTTCTATGGACTAGTGAGCTAACAACT